CCCCCAAAAAAAAATTTGACCCCCGTGCTTTCTTCTGCCGCAGGTTCGCAGACGTGTGTATGTTCTTCAGCTGGAAGCCTCGGACGGGTAAGGACCCGACAGCGAAGGATTTCTTCTCACAGTGGCAGGGTTTCGTTCGCGACTTCAAGGACGTATGGAAGAAGGAGCAGCAGCGCATCGCAAAGAAGAGGTGAGAGCGACAACGGGAGCTGTAACTTTAACTGTACATCCCCCCCCTCTTCTTTCAGCGTAGCCTGCTGTTATATTAACTGTACATCCTCCCTCTTCTTTCAGTATAGCCTGCTGTTATATTAGCTGTACATCCCCCCCCTCTTCTTTCAGCGTAGCCTGCTGTTATATTAACTGTACATCCTCCCTCTTCTTTCAGCACAGCCTGCTGTTATATTAGCTGTACATCCCCCCTCTTCTTTCAGCGTAGCCTGCTGTTATATTAGCTGTACATCCTCCCTCTTCTTTCAGTATAGCCTGCTGTTATATTAGCTGTACGTCCCCCCTCTTTTTTCAGCGTAGCCTGCTGTTATATTAGCTGTACATCCCCCCTCTTCTTTCAGCGTAGCCAGCTGTTATATTAACTGTACATCACCCTTTTCTCTCAGCGCAGCAGCTAGCTGTTACTCCAACTGTGCTGCCTCCCCTCCTCATCCCAGTGCATATAAACTGTGAGGGGCAGTGCAGAAGTAGTAACACCATGTCTGCAAATGTGGATCGACCGTGTTTTCTTGTACTAGCTCACCGCTCGCACGAACGCCTACGACAACCCTATAGCCGACTCTTATCCTACAGCCGCAAAGCCGACAGCGTCTACCTACTGCGCTACAGCTACTGATCACAACAAAAGTCATGACATAAAAGTGCACGCCTTCTGCAGGCAATCTCGCATCACAGGCTTTCATTATGCTATTTATAACTCAAACGCTAGAAGGATGATGGGTGATTGAATGGGATGATTGCAGCTGTATTCGTCCTTATTTACTGCTCACTCAAATATGATGTGGGGCTGTATCGTAAGGTGCTGGCACGGTGGATGGTAGATACAGTAATGTAACTCGACAAGAGTAGGGTTGCAAAGCCAACACCGTTTTTGCGCGGAGCCGCCCTGAGTGATTCACATATTGTTTTATCCTAAACACGAATCTTTTTCTCAATCCCGAGCATTTACCAACCAACCAACAAACCAACCAACCAACCAACCAACCAACCAACCAACCAACCAACCAACCAACCAACCAACCAACCAACCAACCAACCAACCAACCAACCAACCAACCAACCAACCAACCAACCAACCAACTAACAAACCAACAAAATCACAATAAAAAAACCAACAAATCAAACCACAATCAATTCAGCACGCATCACCACAATACCTACTCTTGTTGGATTACATTTGTATCTTGGTGGATAGATGCATGGGGGGGGCTGTGGTGAGTGAGATGGCATGGCGTATTGACACGCCACATTGATAAATCACCGCTCGAAATGTCAACCATGTTTACACATGATGATGTGTGTGTGTGCGTGTGTGCGTGTGTGTGTGTGTGTGTGCGTGTGTGCGTGTGTGTGTGTGTGCGTGTGTGCGTGTGTGTGTGTGTGTGTGTGTGTGTGTGTGTGTGTGTGTGTGTGTGTGTGTGTGT